CACACAAAAAAAGAAGAAACCAATCAAGATGACACTGATCAGACCACCACATACTCAACTGACTCTGCTGTTCTGCATGTAGCCCCTCCCTCTGTCTATACACCCCTGAAACTGCCCTGTAAAAACTTGTCCATTGATTGTCAGTGGGGGAAGGGGGCTGGTGTGGGGGTTGGCCTCTGGACAGGAGTCTGCCTCACACGTTTGCTGGCCTCTGGGAATAAAGCAAATTTTTCTTTCTACCAACATGTGCCTATCTTTGTATTGGCTTTCACCAGACCTGTGCTTTGGTAACACCACCACAGGCTCGCAGTCCTGCCCCTCAGGCACTTCCTGCTACCCATCTCCCTACTAGAATGTCAGTTCCCAAGGACAAGGCCACGTCTACTCTGGTCACAGTGCCAGACATACAGCAGGTGCTCTGTAAATGCACTTAGAGCCTAACTAGATGAAAAAAAAAAGAGGAGGGTACAGGCCAGAGGCAAAAGGAACATGGCATGCCTGTGGGCTAACAGGCAGCCTGCCTGGTCGGAGCTGATCATGTGAAGGGATGGGGTGGGTGATAAGGGGCCTGAACACTGAGGCGAAAGGACCCTCTCCTCTCACGTTCTCACATAGCCAAGGGCCACGATTCATTCATTCACTCATTAGTTTATTCAATAAATGTCTCCTAAACACCTGCCAGGAGCCCAAGACAAAGGTAGATTATTACTGGGAAGGCAGAAGGGCCCAGCTTCCACAGAGCATCCACTAAGGGCAACAAAACACACATCTGAGTGCAGATGCTCAGCATGGAGAAGAGCTGGTGGCTAGAGGCTACCTGGGAGGTTGCCAGCCTCCAAGATGGTCCCTTACATCCTGGGTCACACTCCTCTCCTGTCTCCTCTCTGGCTAATCAGGCTACTCTTTGTGACTGGTGAAATGGGCAGAGGTGATGAGTGTAACTTCTGTGGCTGGGTCATAAAGTGCCCTTTGGTTTCTGCCTTTCCCAGACCACTCTCTCAGGGGGAGCCAGCTGCCATGTCGTGAGGATGCCCAAACAGTGCTGAGGAGAGCCTGTGTGGGCAGGAGCTGGGCTCCTAGACAACAGCCAGCACCAGCTTGCCAAGAGGGAGTGAATCACCTTGGAAGTGGATCTCCTGCCCCAGTCAAGCCTTCAGGTGAGACTGCAGCCCTGACCAACATCTGATTGCAGCCTCGAGAGAGACCCAGAGTCAGAGCCACCTGGCAAGCCTCACCTGAAACTCTGAGAGATAATAAACGATGATGATTGTTTCGAACAGACGGGTGAGGTCAGGTGATGACAGGCAGGTCACGTAGGGTCCTGTAGGACAGGCAGCTGAAGGCTGACGATTTGAGGGGTTTGAGCTGAGGGGAGGGCATGGAGATCTGCTTTGACTTATATGTTTTTAAAATAACTACTGAACACACAGAATTGGAAGCAGGATCTCAAAGAGATGTTCACACACCCATATTTACTGCAGCCTTATTCACTGTAGCCAAGAGGTAGAAGTAACCTGACTGTTCATCGAGGGATGAATAGATAAGCAAATTTGGCGTGCATACAAAAAGTGGAATATTATTCACCTTTAGAAAGGGCAGAATTGTGACACATGATACAACATGGATGAACCTCAAAGACCTTACGCTAAG